GACGTGCCCCCCGGCGGGGGGTGAGGGGGTTCCCCGCCGCCGCCGGGGGCTCGGGGGGCGATGGTGGGGCCGGGCCCCGAGGGTGGCCGGGAGGGGGACGGGGACGTGGACGGGGACACCCGGGACGCTGTTGGTGGGATGCAGCGCGGGCACCCCGCTGCCCCGGCCGAGCACCCAACACGGGTTTTCTCCTGGCAGCCTGGTCACCAAGAAGAAGAAGAAGGAGCTGTGCGCGGACCCCCGGGCGCCCTGGGTGCAGGCGCACCTGAAGCACTTCCAGACCCTCAAGAACTGACCCGTCCCCGCGGTGCTGCCCCCAGCGGGCTTGGCTGCCAGCCCCAGCCACGCCACACGGCACCGCAACCCCAGCCTTCTCCAACGGCAATAATTATTCTATTTAACTTATTTCTGTTAAAGTAAATATTTTTTGCTAAGAAAAGGAAAAAAACCACAAAAAATAAACTTATATCAGGGAGATTGTGCAGTTTTACTGGGCGTGGTCTGGGAGGGCAGTTGGGTGTCCGGGTGTCCCCGGAGGATGTTGGCGCGTCCCGGTTCCGAGATGGCTGTGGTGGCCACTAGCTGTGCGCGGACCCCCGGGCGCCCTGGGTGCAGGCGCACCTGAAGCACTTCCAGACCCTCAAGAACTGACCCGTCCCCGCGGTGCTGCCCCCGGCGGGCTTGGCTGGCCGGAGCAGCGCTGGTGGGTCCCGCGGGAGCTACAGTAGCTGCAGAGCAGGAGTCTCCAGGGCCTGGGGGAGCAAAGGGACCGAGTGCCACCAAAGGTCCCCGAGCTGTGGGGTGCCAGCCCTAGCACTGTGCTGAGCCCACCGTCTCACACTGCCAGCCAGGGCTGAGCTGGGTCTTTTTGGGCCAAGGAGGCTCTGGGGAGATGGTGGCGCCATGTGCCCCCCAATGAGGGGTTATTTATACTGCCCGGGCAGTTGGTAATCCAGGAATGCACATGTGTGACTGTTTGTGACACATACACGTGTGTGGTACCATGTCACAAATGGCTGTATAAATACTGCCCTGTACGTGCATCAGCGCAGGGGCGCGTTTGTCACAGGCACTGGAGGAGTGGGACGGTCTTTGACAACACCGACCTCCCCACGTCTGAGCCATCCCCTTGGCTGTAGCCACCTGCAGTGATGAAGCCAAGGTCGCGACGCCACAGGAGCCTGCGGTCGCCCCCAGCCCAGGGTCCCGCAGAGCGGCAGGAGGAGGAGGCAGAACCCTCCTGTGCATCTCCTCTGCCCAAAAAGAGGCATCAGGACCCCAAGGAGGAAAGTGAGTGCTGAGCATCCCTACGGGCACCCACCAGAGGGGATTTTGGCCAGTTCCTGGTCACTCAAGCAGAGGCCCCTGTGCCACGGGATGATGCTCCGGCCTCTCCCCCATCCCGCTCCTGGCCTTACCCCCACCGGCACCCCGGCACAGTGCTGGGGGTGACAATGCTGCTGTCACCAAGCAGTGTGCGGGCTGTGCCGGCGGGCAGATGTTGACCCTGACATGGTTGGGCAGCTGTGCCATCAGGACGGGCTCTGTGTCCATGAGTACTGCCTGGTGAGTCCTTCAGTCTTGATGCCACCCGGTCCCCAACACCCCCCGGTCCCCGACACCCCCCAGGCCCCAGCCCT